TGGGCACAAATGGCAGGGCCAAAATCTGGCCCCAGACAGACTGCCCAAGCAGAGCGGCAGACCATAGCTGCACACTGCTCACTTTTTTTCCTGCAGCAGCAGCTCCTGCTTAGACCGCAAGCTGAATGCTGCCACCCCCTTCCTCCTCCTCTGCCTTCCAAAGCGGCCATTTGCATTGGCAGCCAGCAAAGTAGAGCCCCCCCCCCAGGAAACACAGCTATCTCGTGGTCTTGTGTGCTCCCAGAGACCTCCGGTGGGGCCACGGTGAGATCCAGGAAGCTGGGCCCTTGGCCTGGTCGAGCAGGGCTCTTCTTATGTCAAACACACACAAGATTAGGCCTGGCACAGGCCACCTCTATGCTCCCCAGCCCCTTGCTCCATCCCTTCCTGCCTTTCCTGGTATCCATAGCAACCGGGCCGACTGCTAGGCCCTCCCCTTGCTTGGCCTTGCCTGCCTAGAGAGGGAAGGAAGAGAGGAGGGAGAGGGAGAGAGGCGGCAGAGCCAGGCCATCACGTGGAGGACGGTGAGAGGAGGTGAAAGGTGACTGGCGGCACCTCTGGGTGGACTTGATGGCACCCCAGGGCGCACACTTTGGGAACCATAGGGGTTACATCCAGGATGTAAATTGGTAGCAGATGAAGTGGACAGTGTCCTGCCTACGATCACATAGTCCGTTGGGGGCTGAGATGAAACTCTGGGTGTTTCTCTAGGGAGCGCTCCTGTCACGCCAATTCATTCCTGCCTTATTTATTATTTTGTTTCAGACATTAATATCCCGTGTTTCCATGGTATTAAACCAAAGTGTGCCCTATATACGTTACAAAATGAGATGAAAAGGGACAATAAACCAAATTCGACAAGGCTACAACAAGGGGAACAAAACCAAACCCTTGTCACCTATGCAGCATTTTCCTAGATCTTGATCACTTGTGAGAGGGAGAAAAAGCCCCCATTTTTAATTTTGTGGGGCTGATTTCTCTAATCCTATTCATGTAGGACTGTGTGCTTTGAGACTTTGTCCCTAGTGAGTGTATTTACACAACACAGTCCTTGCTCACAGGCTTACAAATGAAAAGACAACACACAGGGAATAAGTAGGGAAGAGGAATATAAGCAGAATCACATCCTGGTTCCTAATCTATATAGTAATTCTTATAAAAAGAAACACTTGTGGACAAATGGAAAGCCTTGGTGGTACAGGTGGTACAGAGCTGAGTACAAGAGTAACTGAGCTTTTTCTTTTTCTCTCTCTCTCTGCTGCTGCTGCTATGTGCTGTCAAGTTACAGTATCTCTGACCTATAGTGTCCCTATGAATGAGCAATTTCCAAAATGTCCTGTCCTCAATTGCTCAGCTCAGCTCTTGTGTAAACTCAAGCCTGTGGTTTCTTTAGGGAGTCAGTCTAACTCATATGTGGTCTTCCTCTTTTCCTGCTGCCTTCCACCATTCCCAGCATTACTGTATTATATTTTCCAGAAAATCCTGCCTTCTCATAATGTGCCCAAAGTAGAACAGCATCAATTTCAACATTTTTGCCTCCAGAGATAGTTCAGGCTTGATTTGATCTAGGACCCACTCATTCGTCTTTCTGGCAGTCCAGAATATCTACAAAGCTCTCCTTCCAGCATCACATCTCAAACATATCATTTTTTTCTCGTGTCAGTTTATAGATTATTAGCAAGGACTATTATTGTTTAATTTTCTTATTGATCTTAGCTAAACTGCTTAGGAAGTATTTTCAGTTGAAGAACAGGGTAAAAATGATTACAATTATTTTATCTCTTGTATACCCCTTAATTATTAAATTAATCTCAAGACATTTTGTGCAACAGAAATAGGCTTCCCATTATTATAATAGCGATGTTACTTTGTTACACCAAAAAAAGAGGCAAGACTGAAATCCAGTAGCATATTTTACACCATGTAAGACTGATGATATCATCAGCTTCTATAGTTTTTCAGAAATTAAAATTTTCCAATCCTCCCCCGAAGGCTTCCTCTCCATCCAGTGTCTCCAATGGTTTCCCAATTATGAAATGGTTCCTACAATAGGAATTTCAAAAAAAATTGCCACATCAACATTTTGATGCATGGATTTCAGCCAATGGGTCTTGTGGCACCTATAAAATATGTTAGTCTTAAAGGTGCCACAACATTCTTTGTTGTTTTTGTGTGTATATCACTTATTTCACTCTTATTTTTTTCCCTGCTAGATGGCCAAATATGAACCCTACGAAAGAAATTATGACAATACAGTAAAAATGCTCGAAGATCTAAATAAAGACTTAGAAAAACTACTGGAAGATATGGAAAAACTATCAGGTGTGATTTTATTCCTGGAGAGTGTCTATACATTAATGATTACAGTTTCAGTAGTGTTGGTGTAGATTCTAGTACTCTCTCGGGCCCCATTAAATTTGTTGCAAAAATATGATGCTCCTCCCCAGCTGGCAACACAAGTTAAAATGGAAAATACGTAGCTGAACAAAGGGTTGTAATATCAGAACAATACAAAGACATGGTAAAGTACTTATGCAGTCAAGTCTTTAAAAAGCGCAAGTTTCAAATAAATATTTTTTGTTGCGACATTTGCTACTTCATAAATATCTTTGGATAAAAAATGACACATTTGAAAGATACTACATTCTTTGTACATTCAGATCCAGATAATTGTAAATTTCTTGCTTTGCCCTGTTTTGCCAAATTGCAGGAAGAAACACTTTCCTGGTGTAAGAATTATCCTAAAAAAGAATCAAAAACATACTACATGTATGTTATATATCTGTGGACTACAATATACAGATAATTGTGACTGAATTTTTTTGAGGAGATTGCCTGTTCTCTAGCATGAAAATTAATGGGGAAAGAATTAAGCATCACTACCTTTTATCTGCCAGAACGTCTTCCAAGGAAAGTTTTTCAGTCCATATCGGCTGTTCTCTAGCATGGAAATTAATGGGGAAAGAATTAAGCATCACTACCTTTTATCTGCCAGAACGTCTTCCAAGGAAAGTTTTTCAGTCCATTTGGCACAGTCAGATTTTTGTAGACTGTAATTAGATTCTTTTTTTAAACCCCCAAACTCTTTGTAAAGTGGTTTCTATTAGTCCCCAAAAATTCAAATATTGATAGAGCAAACAAGAGGATTAATCACTTGAGGTAAGTATTTTCACTAATCTGAACACACTTTAAAAGCCCTCTCTTGATTTCTTTTGTGAGAAATAGTAATTTAACAACCATACACATTGCCTGTAGTAATGGTTCTGTCTACCTGTAGACTGATAAACTGATAGTTAACTTTCTGTATGGGTGGGTTGAGCCTCCCGACCAAGAGTTCAATGCCTTCAAAGCTTCATGACTGGGCAGATAAGCAACAAAACAAAAGCAAATGGTGATCGCATGATGAGCAATGATCTTATTTTGTGTTAGGGAAAGCAGATGGAACTCTGCTTCTAATGACATACTAACCACATGGTCTAGGTTGAGCTGTAGGATCTCTGTTGATTCATGTTGACAGGTGAGGATGACTGCTCTTCCTCTTATGGTATCATCCACTCTGACTGGGGAAGAGTTGCAGATGTGTTTTAATGTGGTTTTCCCTCTGTGCTTTTATAGTGCAGGGCACCAGAGATATCCCATTGCTCTTCAAATGTCAGGATTGGATGAGTATGTTGTTTCTCTGATATATGCAAACAGATTTCTGCCGTGTGAATGAAATGTGAGAGACTTGAGCCCCAAAAGGGCTCAGCTTGCTGATCCCACAATGGCCAATGAGATGCCTAAGGAAAGTGCACAAGGGGAACATATGCACAGTACCACATTCCCATTTATGTCCCAGCAAATGGTGTAACGTCTTCTAACAGTGTAGATAATTTATATATCTGTTGTGATTTGTAGATATTGATAGCCATTTTTCTCCATAGATTTAATCCCCTTTTATAGCTATTTAAGGTGATGGCCTTCACTTCTTTGTGTAGTAGTGAATTCTGTGGTTTAATTATGTATAAGTACTTTTCAATCAATTTTCTGTCTCTCCGACCATTTAACTTCATGGATGGCTGGGTTGTGGAGTGAGACATGGGGTGAGGGCGAGCCCTCTTCTTATGCTGTATACTTGTACATTGCGTAATTATTTTTAATAATACAAGTTTCCCTTTCTCAAAACTAAAGATCAATATTTGCAAATTTTACTTTTAACTCAAGGAGGGTTAGATTTAATAAGAGCTGATGATTTTTTTTTCTACATTAGGTGGGAGTGGAGGATCATTCCTATCTCCTTATTACTGGAAAATCTGTGCAGAGTTAGAAGAGTAAATAAGCCATAAAATTCTCCACAACAACGCAGGCTAGAAATGTGAAAGTTCAATGTTCTTGGGATTCTGTTTGAACTCATGATTTCTGCTATAGATTTCAACCCAGCTGTTTCTTCCTAGTATATAGATCACTTACCTCTTCAATTATTCAATACAAGCTGGTGTTTAAAATCACATTTCCTTTCTTTTCTGTTTTTTTTTTTACATTATTTTTGCATTTATCTATTGTAGTTACCACCAGTCTTTTCTCCAAGGAACTGGAGGCTGTGTACATAGTCCTCCCCTTCCTTTAACCTTTCAATAGCAAAGTGATAGGCTAGGCTTAGAGAAAAACTGTGTTCACCCTTTGAACTGAATGACTGACTGAGAATTAGAACCTTAGCTCCTCAATAGTAGTCTGAGATCTAAAGAAATACTTGTCAAAGTGGAGTTAAAAATGCTAGTAAACCCTTGCTCAGGAGGCCACCAGTATATGGTGGTTTAATGGAGTATATGTTACACTGGTTTAGTTATTTTACAGAGTTAATATAATATTTAGGGGAAGTAGAATGCAAAAAGAGAGAATGAAGGGTGCTTACTTTTTTAAGCAGCTGAATATGGGGTGCAATTCTGTGGAAGGAAAATATAACTTCCCTCTATGCTATTTTTCTGCTTGTTTGTTTGTTCAGTTGTTTAGTCGTGTTCTTCTGCTATGAAATACATATATCTCTCAATCACTTGCCCCATGGGGGTGGGGGAAATACAGGTATTGCATACATTCCTGCTTGTTTTACTCTTCAGCCAGTAGCATCTTGAGGGAGATTTAAACTGGGAAACTGGGAGTGAGGAGTTTGCCCCTTCTTTCCAGTGTTACAGTTTGAAATACGGACATGCATCTTCCACATCACATTTGTTTTGACTCTCTGTGTCAAACCAGAAGATAAAAGAAATGAAGAAATACACCTCTCATCTCTATTTTTCAAAATATAATTGCAATGCCAGTTGCACCGTTTCCCCTATGCCACAGTCCTGATGAAAACGGTTCCCTTGGCAGCATTCCAGTCATCATGACTCTGTCTCTCAGTGGAGGGTTAGTTTGGTCACAGATGTGATCCTGATCTCTTCCCCACTTTGAAAAGCAGATGTGAAAAATGTGTTCCTGCATTTCTCATTTAGTCTCATGTGATTCTTGGGCAGTCTATGCATGCTACGATACATTTTGTTCTTGCACATTTGAGCGTATTGTTTAGCACATACACACTTTCACTAGTATAGATGGGATGTCCATGTTGAAAGTTAGAGCATGAATACATGATGCACATTTCCAGCAGGTGGTGGGCAGTCATAAATCATAATCAGTCATTTTAGCTAAAGAACCTAGTGCAAATTCACCGATGATGCACATTTCCATAATCAGTCAATTTAGCTAAAGAACCTAGTGCAAATTCACCCTGTGGCTTAGTGATGCAGAAACCTGTGGCTGAGTAGATTTGTTATTAGATGATCCTGTACGTTTTGTAACATACCCCATTAAATTACAGATGTTTATCTGTTGTGTTGTCCCAGTGCAGGCTACATGGATGGCTTATGATATGGTGGTGATGCGTACTAATCCAGACTTAGCCAACTCAATGAGACGGCTGGAAGATGCCTTTCTCACTTGTAAGGAGGAAATGGAGAAAAACTGGAGAGAGATGCTAAAGGAAACTAAAAATGTTGCACAAAAGCAAGAATAAATCCTAAAATTTTGGGGAGGAGAGTAGGCCTTGGGTGTTGGTCTTCAGCAGTCACTTTGTTCACTGCCACACATAAATTTAAGTTTATAAGATGTGTTTAAAAACAATTGCCTGATGTGTGCATATCAAAAATCCTACTGGAAAGGCAATAGTGGTTTTATGTATTCATTTATATTAAACGGAGACATCACTGAATTTTTAAATAAAACCACTGAAAATTGTTTGTGTTTGTCCATTTTTCTGTAAAATTCATGCATATGGAGTGGTGGCGCTGCGGGTTAAACCTCAGAAGCCTCTGTGCTGCTAGATCAGAAGACCAGCAGTCGTAAGATCAAATCGACGCGACGGAGTGAGCTCCCGTCGCTTGTCCCTGCTCCTGCCAACCTAGCAGTTTGAAAATATGTAAAAATGTGAGTAGATAAATAGGTACCACCTTGGCGGGAAGGTAACAGCGTTCTGTGTCTAGTCAAACTGGCCACGTGACCATGGAAACTGTCTTCAGACAAATGGTGGCTCTATGGCTTGGAGACAGGGATGAGCACCATGCCCTAGAGTCAGCCACGACTGGACTAAATGTCAAGGGGAACCTTTACCTTTACCTTACAGGTAAAGGTTAAGGTATGTCTGCTGAGGCTGATGGTTTTTTGTTTTTTTAATGCACATTTTAAACACCAAAAATGATATCTCAGTGGTGAACAGAGCTTACTCCAAAATACATGTGATAGTATTATAGTTATAATTTACTTGTGAGGGAGTAGGAATAATTCTAACTTGACCACCAGATGGCGTTCATGTGCAAATAAGATCAGTTTAAGCAATTCCCTGTTTCCAACCAGCAAGGAGAATTCATTTTCTGGAAGCATTTCTCTATAGAGATATAGCAAAACAAACAGGTACTAGAGAGGCCAGCATCCAAGAGTTCAGTAAATGAGATGCTTAAGCAATTCCCTGTTTCCAACCAGCAAGGAGAATTCATTTTCTGGAAGCATTTCTTTATAGAGATATAGCAAAACAAACAGGTAGTAGAGAGCATCCAAGAGTTCAGTAAATGAGATGCTTCTTGTATGTAGCATGTCTTAGAGTTCTACTATCCAACAGATAAGGGCAATTATCTGGTTACACTGGTGCAATGGGAGTGATGTCACCAGCTGTGGCAGGTCACACAGACCCCAAATTTTATTTCATAATTATTTATTTAAAATGCTTTTACCCCACTTTTCTCTTTTAAAGGACCCAAGGTGGCTTACATAATTCAAAAACAATACTGAAAGCTAAAAACAATAAGTATACAAATATTAAAAGGGAACAAACAAAGACCATCTAAGCATGGTAAACAAAAGCAATACTAAACACACATTCAAAACAATAATCCATAACAACCCATTTAAAAATCTGTCTCTGACAGCCAGTCACTCAAGGAAAACGTGTCTGAAGAGAAAGATCTTTCTTTGATTGCGGAAGGATAGCAAAGATCGGGGCAGCCTGGCCTCCTGTGGGAGGGAGTTCCAAAGTCTGGGAGCAACCACAGAGAAGGCCCTCTCCTGCGTCCCTATCAGACACACCTGTGAAGGTGGTGGGACTGAGAGAAAGGCCTCTCCTGATGATCTTAACACCCAAGCAGGCTCTTAAAGGGAGAAATGGTCCTTGTGATAGCTTGGACTCAAGCCATTTAGGGCTTTATAGGTTAGAACTAGAACTTTGAATTGTGCCTGGAAACAGATTGGCAGCCAGTGGAACTGCTGCTAATTATCCGGAATCTGCTTTGACTGGTGATGTCACTGCTGTTGCACAGGCATTGCTATAATGACAGAATATTGGTCATTAACAGAGAATTTAAGAGCTAAAGAAACAGGACTATAATTGCTTATCTGAAGCGAGAGCCATTGCATTCAGTGAGACATATCTCAGACAGGGCATGTATAAAACTGAGCTCTTCATCTTTGAAGGAAACCTGTTCAGACTCCTGGGTCTGAAAATGGAAGACAGCTACTTGATGAAGATTATCAGTAAATTTGCACTTCTTGTCTTAAGGAGGTATAACCAATGGTTTCAGACCATATAGTTTTATATTAGGATCACCACTTTATGCTAAATGCTAGTAAAAAGAATCTGCATTTCTCTCTGTTTTATACCTCGTTCCATTACAACATAACAAGGTTGGGTTGTTTGTTTAAAAGATTCTATATTGCCCTTTGTTTTATGAGATTCCAGAATAGTGAACAGTTTAACCAATAACCTATTGCGGTGCTTTAAACTCCCATCCAGCAGCTATAATAAAAGGTGGCATGGACATTTAAATTACTAAGCCAGTGAGAGGTTTTGGAGGAGAAAACAATACATGCAAATAGTTTTAAAACATGACTGCAAATTAGGCGCCAAACATTTCTTTCAGGAGGCCATTCCAAAGGTCACAGGGAGAGACATTTCCTTTTAATTTAACTAGTCTTTTCCAAGAAAGAGGGCACTTGGAGTATGTCCCCAGTGACAAATTTCAAGACATGGGTAGGCTGACATGGAAAGGGGTGGTCTTTCAAGTAGCTCAGTCCCTGACTATTTAGAGCTTTTTCACTCGCAGGGAAGGCTCCGGATACCATCCTCTGGATTAAACATTTGGACACAACTTTATTGATGCAGATATACATTATGAGATAAGGAGGCAAGAGAAGAACCAATGTTTCCTTATTCTTATGACTAGCGCCCACTGGAAGGGGCTAACCTTCTTGTGTACACTGAATGTAGTTCCATCCAGCTTGTACTAGGACTTGCTAACCATTTGTGCCAGTTTCCGAGATTGTCTTGTTTACGCATGAAGAAATTGCTGTGGCATTTTATATAATTTTCCTGAGGCGTCTGCACAGGCCACTCCGTCCACTCACCTCAGCTGCCGTTGCCCAGTTATTTTCTGGCCTCCGCTTCTACCTCTACCATTTCATACTGTTCTGCCCAGTAACACAAAGTTGTGACAATTCTATGTGACTCTACTGCACTTCACCCTACAGTCAATTAATATACCCATAATTAAAGAGATATTTGATGTATCTGTTTCAATGAGGTACTTGGTGTGAGGCCAAAAAACCCAAAAAACCCACCACAAAAAAACTGTCGTGTATTTTATACGTGGCAGAGGTGCCCTGACAATGTGCAACCATTTTATTCAGGAAAAGTCAGATGGAGTTATGGAGATTGGTGTGAGTTCCATTACTTTAAATTGATAAATATTCCATAGTTTAGAGAGTGCTATCTCATAGGTAGTTCAAGTTGCACAGGAGATTAGGCAACAAGTTAGCTAAATAAATAGATACATTCTAATAAACCTAGAATCTTACTACACTATCCAGATTATTGACAGTCTGTAATGAGAGGAAATTTCTGCACTGGCCTGACATTTATTTAAGCTACAACTGTCAATGGCATTAATTAAGGAGAGAGCACATGAGAAGTTAATTACAGTCTGCTCCTAGCCTGCTGATTCCAAAGGGCAGAACGGATCATTTTTGCTGTGGATCTGTTCCAACATTTACACCATGCTCCTAAACACATTGGCTTTGATTCAGAGCTCATTGAGACTCCGATGAGTGCACAGCGTTGCACACAGCACTGAAGGAAGCCATGCAGGGCACATCTTTGCTGCTGCATTAGTGCTGAGCTGAGAAGAGGAATAACCACAAGAATACAAGCTCCTCTTCTGTGTACCACGAGGTTTTTCATTCCCAACAACAGAAAGTGGAAATTTGCCAAAAGGTGTGCATGAATATTTGTTTCTTAGCTGACAATGAAAAGTCAGTGCAATGTTGAGTTCTCTGAAGCAAAACTCTTTAACTGTGAGTCTATCCAATGAGATGAAGATCTAGGTAAAAGCGATCAACAATTTTGCCTTAAATTCCTCTCCCACTGATAGGCTGCATGACCTAGAAATAGCTAAATGATTGCATAATCTGGGAACGGTCTCTGAAGCTTTACACGTGGCAACGCTGTATGCGCCAACATGTCCCAATAAGAGAGTACCAAAGCTCAGCAGTGAGACCACATATTGGACGGAAAGCGTTTTATACCTTTTAAAAATGCAACATTTCTGAGGGCTCGTTGCCTTGAACATTAGTCCTCAGGTTGACGTTTGCTGACATTCTTCTTCTCATTTAGCATCTCAAGTTCAACATCAGGCCAAATTTATCATCAGCCCTGTCAATATAAAAGCTGCCAAGTTATTCTGTCTTCCACTGACAAGGGAGTCTGAGGGGTGAAAAACCTGTTCGCGCAACTATACTCATCAGCAGGCAGCGATTTTTGGAAATTAAATACTTCTAGCCTGCAGCTCCTTCCACACTGTGCAAGGGATTATACAGGACTTAACAGGCATGGTTATGTGAACAAGATTTGAGGCAGTGTATTTTACATAGGGTGGAGATAATGCTGAGAGTACAGCTGGGTTTTGTATTTTCAAAACAAAGAATCAATCTTTATTATTTTTACTGTTCCCAACAATAGTATAAATGGGGGGTATTCGTATTCGTATATGAATAAGAATGTCCCCTGCATAGCTGGACATAACGAGGGTCCAGCCTCCTAGGGTCAGAATGTCCACTTACATGTCTGCTGCCACCGGCAACTCCACTCTCCCTTCCAATCGCTCTAGAGCTCGCAATCGACTATCTATTCCTGGCAGAAGGAGGGAAGACAAGTCTCCCTGCCAGGCTGACAAGTTGGATAGTCGATCATGCACTCTGGAGCGATTGTAAGGGAGAGTGGAGCTGGCGGTGGCAGTGGACGCGTGAGTGGATGGTGCAGCTTCACGGGGCCGGCCCCTTGTTACGTCCAGTTGTGCCCATCTCTAAAACCTAATACAATTACGTCACCTAATTAGGCCCATTTGAGAGCATGCACACCTTCCTCGTTACCTCTCAAGACAAGCTGCGGAGAAAATGATTTGAAGATTGTTGTTTTGTGTGACATCAAATTGCTTCCAGACTAGGATGATGTTACGGATTAATAACCTCCAGATTGTTTCGCTCTATGGCCTTTTTATAAAGAGTGTCCAGTGTGGGGAAAAGTTCCACAGATGGAAAGGCACCCTAACTGCTTATTCTGCCTTGGAGGGCATTTTTTTTTTTTTAAAGTGCCATCATTTTCAAAATCTTTCTAAATTGGATTTTAAGAATAGACACCTTTTTTTACGAACTGGGATTACCAGTATTTTCCAAGCCACAAGGC